TTTGGATTCTCCTTTAGATGGGAAGGTCTCTGAGGGTAGGTGGGTGAATCAGGAGTTCAGGTTCTACATGTAAAACTAGGCACAGCTGTTACGCCAGAGCGTCTTGATCAGTGTTGTCCCAAAACAGGTCTCAGGCAAATATATGGATTCTCTCAGTCCTCATTGCAGCCCAGTGGTGACCAGAGCCTCCAGGGCCCCCGGGTAGTTAATTCCTCCCTCAGAAGGATCCTTCTTTTACTCACAGGGTTCCTAGCAATATCATGGGTCACTGACTCTAAACTGCCATCGCTCTTAACGTACAGCTTTATGTACCACTAAGGGGAAAAAAGCCACACCGAAATCAGGTTCATTATATTCTTTGCAGCCAAAGATGGAGAAGCTCTATAGTCAGCAAACACAAGACCAGGAGTTGACTGTGGCTCAGATCATGAACTCCTTATTGCAAAGTTCAGACTTAAATTGAAGAAAGTAAGGAAAACCACTAGACCATTCAGGTATGACCTAAATCAAATCCCTTATGATTACACAGTGGAAGTGACAATAAATTCAAGGGATTAGATCTGATAGACAGTGCCTGAAAACTATGAACAGAGGTCCATGACATTGTACAGGAGGCAGGGATCAAGACCATCCCCAAGAAAGAGAAATGCAAAAAGGCAAAATGGTTGTCTGAGGAGGCCTTACAAATACCTGAGAAAAGAAGAGAAGCAAAAGGCAACAGAGAAAAGGAAAGATATACCCATTTGAATGCAGAGTTCCATAGAAGGAGGGATAAGAAAGCCTTCCTCAGTGATCAGTGCAAAGAAATAGAGAAAAACAATAGAATGGAAAAGACTACAGATCTTGTCAAGAAAATCAGAGATATCAAGGGAATATTTCATGCAAAAATGGACACAATAAAGGACAGAAATGGTATGGATCTAATAGAAGCAGATGATATTAAGAAGAAGTGGCAAGAATACACAGAAGAACTACACAAAAAAGGGCTTAATGACCCAGATAACCACAATGGTGTGACCACTCACCTAGAGCCAGACATCCTGGAATGTGGTCAGGTGGGCCTTAGGAAACATCACTGGGAACAAAGCTAATGGAGGTGATGGAATTCCAGTTGAGCTATTTCAAATCCTAAAATACGACACTGTGAAAGTTCTGCACTCAATAGGCCAGCAAATTTGGAAAACTCAGCAGTGGCCACAGGACTCGAAAGTCAGTTTTCATTCCAATCCCAAAGAAAGGCAATGCCAAAGAATGTTCAAACTACCACACAATTGCACTCATCTCACATACTAGCAAAGTAATGCTCAAAATTCTCCAAGCGAGGCTTCAACAGTACATGAACCAAGACCTTCCAGATGTTCAATCTAGATTTAGAAAAGGCAGCGGAACCAGAGATCAAATTTCCAACATCTGTTGGATCATTAAAAGGCAAGAGAGTCCCAGAAAAGCATCTACTTCTGCTTTATAGACTATGCCAAAGCCTTTGACCATGTGGATCACAGCAAAATGTGGAACATTCTTAAAGAGATGGGAATACCAGACCACCTTACCTGCCTCCTGAGAAATCTATATTCAGGTCAAGAAGCAACAACTAGAACCAGACATGGGACAACAGACTGGTTCCAAATTGGGAAAGGAGTATGTCAAGGCTATATATTGTCACCCTGTTTATTTAACTTCTATGCAGAGTACATCATGTGAAATGCTGGGCTGGATAAAGCACAGCTGGAATCAAGATGCAGATGACACCACCCTTATGGCAGAAAGTGAAGAGAAACTAAAGAGCCTCTTGATGAAAGTGGAAGAGGAGAGTGATAAAGTTGGCTTAAAACTCAACATTCAAAGAACTGATCATGGCAGCCAGTGCCATGATGTCACAGCAAATAGATGGGGAAACAATGGAAACAGTGACAGGCTTTATTTTCCTGGGCTCCAGAATCATGCAGATGGTGACCACAGCCACAAAATTAAAAGATAAAAGATGCTTATTCCTTGGAAGAAAAGCTATGACCAACTTATACAGCATATTAAAAAGCAGAGACATTACTTTGTCAGCAAAGGTCCATCTAGTCAAAACTATGGTTTTCCCAGTAGTCATGTATGGATGTGAGAGTTGGACCATAAAGAAAGCCGAGTGCCAAAGAATTAATGCTTTTGAACTGAGATGCTGGAGAAAACTGTTGAGCGTTCCTTGAACTGCAAGGAGATCCAACCAGTCCATCCTAAAGGTAATCAGTCCTGAATACTCATTGGATTGATTGATGCTGAGGTTCAAGCTCCAATACTTTGGCCACTTGATACAAAGAAGTGACTCACTGGAAAAGACCCTGATGATTGAAGGCAAAAGGAGGAGGAGGAGGCAGAGGATGATGCTCAGATAGCATCATTGACTCAATGGACATGAGTTTGAGCAGGCTCCAGGAGTTGGTGATGGACAGGGAAGCCTGGCATGCTGCAGTCCATGGGGCTGCAAAGAGTCAGACATGACTGAGAGACTGACCTGACTGACTGAAGGGGAAAAAATGATGCCAGTTAAACTATAACACAGTGTTTTCTAACCCATATTTTTTTCCTGCACTTCTTAGACATGGTAATTTTAAAGTTAAGTTTTTAACCATATAGCACTCACAGAAATTATTCATGCAATTAATTTGTTTACATGTCCTTCAAGCATCTATTTAGAATCCAGATCGCCTGTGTCTGTGTATTCCTCACTCTGTTTTATCAACAGTGTTAGCAATGTAGAGTCTCTTCAAAGAGTGTCCCACTATTGATTTTGGATTTTCTTCAAAGCTGCTGACACCTGTCTGCAAGTTTGGATGTGAATGCAAGACAATGACAACTATATCATGACTGCTGCCTGGCCAACAGCTCTCTTGCTAATAGTGCTACTGAAATGGGGGGAAGTTGCAGATCCACCTGTAGTGTGTGCATTTCTATGCGGGCCCTGAAGTAAAGAGCTAGGCAGCACTGGGTGAGACCTCCAGTGAGGGAGGCTGAGGGGCAGTGGAATGGGAGTCTGGCACTTAGTGGAGGGACAGGTGTAGAAAGATGGGTTTGCAGCTTTGTGACCCACAAGCCCACAGATGGTAATGGGGCCTCACGGGCCAGGGAAACCAAGGAGAGGTGGAGAGGAGTTGGTGTTGAGCCTTGGGATTCTCAAGTGTTTAGAAATCTACAAGAGGAGCCAACCAACCCCACTGAGAGTTAGCAGCAGGTATCCAGTCCAAACACTGGATATCAAGGCAGCGATATGGAAGCCTGACGTCAGCGAGGTCAAGTGCTGCCCAGAAGTCAATGAGGAGGAGAGCTGAAGAGTGACCACTGGACTGGGCAGCAGAGAGGTTACGAGTGGAGTTGATAAAAGGACCTTCCTGGCGGGTGGCAGCCTCTGTGGAGCTCGATGACAAACAGATGGATTGGACTGGGTTGAGGAGTGAGAGTGGGTGAGGTGGTCTTCCAGCAGCTGTGCTGTCAAAGCTAGACATATGGTCAAGACAGGTGGCGGTGTTTCCATTTCAAAACGACACTGGACATGTGTGAACACTTAGTACGGTGGGATTGACTGTGCAGGAGAGGATACGAGTAGTGGCCAAGTGCTTGAGAAGTCGAGAAGGATGAGATTCAGGGCACCAGACCAACTCAGCTTTGGACAGAATCAAGACCCATTGCAAAGCCATCCTTTGGGCACAAACGCCCAACCTTCCAAGACCTTTAAGGTTTCCAGGCTTCAAAGCGCTGCCTCATGCTCTCTCAGGGATGGCAGGTGGGGACGTTTGCAGCATCTCTTCAATAAATCCTGCAGCCGTGAAATTAAAAGAGGCTTACTCCTTGAAAGAAAAGTTATGATCAACCTAGACAGCATATTAAAAGGCAGAGACATTACTTTGCCAACAAAGGTCCATCTAGTCAAAGCTATGGTTTTCCCAGTAGTCATGTATGGATGTGAAAGTTGGACTATAAAGAAAGCTGAGCACCGAAGAATTGATGCTTTTGAACTGTGGTGTTGGAGAAGACTCTTGAGAGTCCCTTGGCCTGCACAGAGATCCAACCAGTCCATCCTAAAGGAAATCAGTCCTGAATATTCATTGGAAGGACTGATGCTGAAGCTGAAACTCCAATTTTTGGCCACCTGATGCGAGGAACTGACTCATTTGAAAAGACCCTGATGCTGGGAAAGATTGAAGGTACGAGGAAAAGTGGAAGACAGAGGATGAGATGGGTGGATGGCATCACCGACTCAATGGACATGAGTTTGAGTAAACTCCGGGAGCTGGTGATGGACAGGGAGGCCTGACGTGCTGCAGAGTAGGACACGGCTGAGGGACTGAACTGAACGTCAGTAAATCCGGGCTATTCTCGTGCCCCTGGTCGGTGGTTCCCGCTGGTGTCTTATTTCCGAACTGCGGCTCCAGGTGTGAGGGGGTGGAGGACACGTGGTTGACGGGCCGGTTCCCGACGACAACACGCACCACTGGCCTGGGTGCCCAGCTCTGGAGGCTCAGCTTTCCCACCACGGTCACAGCCCGTCTGGCGGGTTGGCGGAGCACCGCCCACGTCGGTGCCACCCTCCCGCTGGACTACGCTCACCCAGTCTCCCGCTCCTGCCTCCCCAGCACCGCGGGCGTCTACCAACGCCCCGCCCTCCCCGCGCCCCCTTCTTCCTCCTCAGCCTCCAGCCTTGGCGTCCTACGTGGCGCCGCAGACTGCGCATGCTCAGTCCACGGGACACAAGCACGCGCCCGCGCGCGGGGGGGCCGGCGGGGCGGGGCTGGGCGGGCGCGATGACGCCACTGCGCAGCCGCGGGTGGGCGGGACCGTGCCACGTCGGCGCGCGCCGGCCGCGCCCCCTCCCGGCTGCCGCGGTCAGTCAGCCTGTGCGCGGCCCCGGAGCGCTACGCGCGCGCCTCTAGCTCCCGGCGTCGACGCTCGCGCGCTTCCCTCCCAACAGCCCGAGCCCGCCGCCGCCGTCCGTGTCCGTCTGAAACCGGCTTCGCACCATGTCTTCGCCTCCCGAGGGGAAGCTGGAGACGAAAGCTGGACACCCGCCCGCCGGTACGGACGCGTTCCCACTTCCTCTCCTCTCGCGGGTCCGGAGGGCGGGCTCGAACCCGCGGACGCGGGGCGCGGGACTCGCGGGGCGCCGGGCGGGGAGGCAGCGACCCGCCCCGGGATGGGTCGGCTCGTGCGGTCTGAGGTAGACTCAGCCCCGCGCGGGCGACACCTGTTATTTTACGCGAAAACATCGCAAGTCCGTGGGAGTTGCGTGCAGATTAGACTGACTTGAAAGAACCCCAGCTGAACAATGTGTCCCCAAAAGTTTGGGCGGTGAATGCTTCCTTAGAATGCACGGATGCTTTAGAAAAGAAAACGAGGAGCCAAAAGAGGGACAAATCACAGAGTTCTCAGCGTCTTGGCGATGATTAATTGTAGGCTGACAGCATTACAAAAAAGAACCAAAGGAGTGGAAATCTTTTTTTTTTTTTTCGTTAACCACTCAATGACTTTTTTTCCCTCCCTCCAGTTTCTTTCGCATTCTGCTTTTCCTCAAAAGTGGTTTGGTTTTGTGTGTGTTGGGTTTTTTTTTTTTTTGCTTTTAGCTTCTGTACATCCTAAACTTCTGAGGTAAGGAAACTTCTGAGGTAAGGAAGTTAAATGCTGGAGTCTTTTTTTTCTTCGAAAATGGGACTCTGAGCAGCCTTTATTTTCATATCGTCTCCTCCCCCTTTTGAGCACAGTTCCTGTTTGCTCTTTCGAATCTGCCCAAACTGGTCGATTGCTTTTTTCACCTCTCCCTTGAAATGACCATCAGTCCATATGGAAGGGCACTGGGAGGGAATTAGAGGTGACTGACCCCCAGTCTCGTAAGCCTGTGGGGTTTTTAGGGTCTTCATTCCACACATTGGTGAAGAGTATCAACTCAGTCTGCTAGTAACAGAGGCCTGAGCCAAACATGGCTGCTTTCTGTGGAACATTTATGCCATCTTCTTGTTGAAGGAAAGATTTCCCCAGTTTCTGCCTGCCGCCCCCACCATAGGGCGCTAATTCTTTGTCTCGACACAGTGACTAGAGTAGTTCCTTAGCATATGTTGCATTCCAGAGTAGGTCATACTTTTCATTAGTGAAATAAGCTCTCAACAGCAGGACAGGCACCAGGAAAGAAAAATGGCTAACCGATGCATGTGGGGTGTGAGAGGTGTGGGATTTTAGAAAACAGTTCCACTGTAATGGAAAGTAGATTTGGGGGGCTTCTGTGTTGAATCAGTTTTAAGTTAAAAAAGAATGTCAAAGCACTTCCTTTCATGATGACTCTGGCCTGTAAGTCCTACCACTGGGGGTTCATGCCCAGCTGCCTAATGACCTGGGCCGCTGGGCAGGAGGTGACGCCTTTGTTTACACTGGTGACCCTCAGCCGCAGTCTGCCTGGGGCTCCCCTGTCCCCAGGGAGTGAGTAGCAGTAGAATGTACGTGTTGGGATGATACCAAAGCAAAGTGGCAGTAATTAAATTGCATATAGAGACAGCCATATGGAGATCTTTAAGACTGGAGGAATAAACTGTCGATATTAACTCCCTGGGAGAAATTTCATGAAGGACTCTGAGTTTTCTCTCAATTGTAAACAGCTAGGCTGTGTGAATCACGAATTAAGTATTTTATTTATGTTCAAGGAGAAGGGAGCCAATGTATTTGTGATGGCATAGCAGTGAACTTGAGTTCTAAGTTTGAGGCTGGTCACTTCTCTAGGGCTCAGTTTTCCTAATTCATGAAATGGGAGGTTTGTTCCAGATGGTCCCTGAGGAAGTAGTAGGGCAGGGCTGCCTTTGTGCTCTTAATGTCACCGTCTATAGGATTGGAGCCCACAGACAGTTAATGCCACAGTTAAACAACTCCAGTGACTTCAGGCAGTGACTTTTTAAGGCTTTGAGACTTAAGCTCACTCTCAATCCAGCAGGAGACGCTAAGGAAGCCGTCACTGTCATCCTGCCTTTCGCAAGGATGGTGACACTTGGCCAGAGCTGGAGGAAGGGCCTAGCATCCTGGCCCAGCGGTGCAGGTTAGAAAGAGACCTTTCGTCGGTTGCAGTGTCTTGCCTCTCTGTTAGTACCGCACGGAGACCTCTGTGTGGAAGCCTTCTCTGGCAGAAAGGTCTGGGTGGTCTTGTTTACTCCAGCATGACCAGAGAACAGAACGTTCTGCAGAGTAGATGTTAAAAGGAAAAAAGAGCATCTACTATAATAAAGGGTAATCATCACGGATAGCCCAGAGCCCAGTTCCTAAATCAAAATAACAACCTTGAAACATTGGCAACACTTTCATTAAGTGCTTAAGTTGGATAACAAAATCTTGTGCCTAAGTCTGCGATCGAAAACAATAAAATCCTCCTTCGTGACTCTCTTCATGTTCTTTTGTGTTTTATCATTATTGCTCTGTGAACCAGGTACTCTTCTCTGCACCCCACAACCTCTACCTGTCTGCCTGTGCCCCTTGCTTCTGGGCCTGGGTCCTGTTGATGAGCAGGGCCTGGCTTGTGATACGTAATAAATAGCTTGTGAGTTTCTCCAGAGCCTCTTAACCGCCTCTCACTTCCTCTCTGGCACGAGAGGCCCACAGCTTCGCTCCACTGCTGAGCTCTCTCCATCGTGTCCTCGTGGTGCAGGCGGGACTCTCAGCCAGCTGAGGCAGCAGCAGCATCATAGAAATCGTAACTTATATTTGCCGAGTGTTACAGGGCGTGGGGTGCTTCCCAGGTGGCACTAGTGGTAGAGAACCCGCCTGCTAGTGAAGGAGACGTAAGAGACGCAGCTTCGATCCCTGGGTCAGAAAGATCCCCTGGAGGAGGGTGTGGCAGCCCACTCCTGTACTCTTGCCTGGTGAATCCCAGGGACGGAGGAGCCTAGCAAGCTATGGTCCAGACGGGTGCAAAGAGTCGGACAGGACTAAGCAACTTAGTATGTGTGCACGCTTAGGGTGTGGGGTGTAGGGGAGAAAAATCACTTTCCCTTTATTCTTCTAGGTTCCTGGCTGAGATCCCCCTTAGGATAAAAAACAGACTAATAAAGAAGAAGAAGCAGTTCAATAACATATATCTCTCCTGTATACATAGGAGATGCTAAAGAAAAATGAGTGACTCCCAAGCCCCACCTTAAATACTAACGATAAAACATACCCAGGAGAGGAGGTTCCCCTTGTGGGAGGGAGCCAGGAAATGCCTGGTAAGCCAGGGGAAGGTCGTTATGCAGAGTAGGATTCTCCTGTGACTTAGTCGTATTTCTCTTCCTGGTACAGAGAAAAAGAGACACTTAACACTTGGAGATCTCCCTTAGGAGTGTAAAAGTTCCCAGCAAGGGTGGGACTTCTCTGTATCCAGCTTTTCCTTGTGTGCTGTTCCTTAATCAACTCAAAATCATACTTGCCCAAGAGGCAGGTTTTGGGGGTGGCAGCCTACTCCCCTTCACCAGTCAGTTCTAAGCACTTAACAGTAACAGTCACCTTGCAGTTGGGATCAAGGGGACGACGCTGTTTTTAAACCTGGCCAAGCTCTCTGGAGTGTTGCTGACACCCCCAAAGACAGTGACTTCAGGGGGTCTCCCTGGAGGGAGGGGGGACTTTGCCTCCTGGAACCTCAGCAGCCCTTCTCAAAGGGGCTCCATTCTTCACCAGATCCTCCTCCCAGGCTGTGAGGTTAATGAGGCTCCTGAAGTACTCGGCGGAAGGGGACTGTGTGAATAAATCCAGTCCACCCATTGAGTGCCAGTGGGCGCTGCCTGACATCCTGTGATGTGCTGGTGGCTGGGTCCTCTTGTCAAAGTAGCCAAGTCTTCATGATTTGAGAGCTCGCCACTGCTCTCGGCGACCAAATATTTGTGGAGAGATGAGGTGAGACTGCTGCTTCTCTGGGAATTCTTGCAAATAACAGATGAACAGAGTGAGTGAGGTTCTGTTTCATCTAACAGTAGAACTCTGATCCCCAGCAGAAAGGGGGACTTGGTGACAAGCCACACTGTGACTCACTCCTGCCGGTTTCCATGAGTTTCTGGCAGTGGTGGGAATAACGTCTCTTCGTGACATACGTTTTGCTGATCCTGGTCTCCTCCCAGTTCCCAGGGGACGCAAACCATATGTCAGGAGAGTTCTCATAAATCTAATACGTGATGGCTTGAAGTGCTACTAATCTTAAGTGTAGTTTCCTTTCAAGAGTAGACTTTATGTCCCTTCTAGAACTGGATCAAATGGAAATACAAACACGATTCTATTCATTATAGTGGGAAAAGAGACCACTTTGTTTTTCTTTAGTAACTTCAAAATAATTCAGTTCTCTGTTCTACTGATCATTCAGGATACATTTAGAAGTGGGTGATACTTCCCCCTGAATTACCTCCCTTTGGAGGTTTCATATTATCCAGGCCACTCTGTTACTAGAAAGGCAAGACTGATTTGGTTTTTATTGTATTAGCCGTGAAATCACAGGTGTGCTGAGCACGACCCCCAGTATCCTCAACCCAGTCACTGATCAGCGCTTGAAGATACAGGACAGAGGTGTCTGCCTTTGCTCCTGCGTGTGTGTGCTCGGTTGCTAAGTCATGGCCGATGTCCAGCTCTTTGCGACCCCATGGACTGTAACCCACCAGTCTCCTCTGTCTATGGAGTTTCCCAGGCAAGAATACTTGAGGGGGTTGCTACTTCCTCCTTCAGGGGATCTTACCAACCCAGGGATAGAACCCGCATCTCTTATGTCTCCTGCAATGGCAGGTAGGTTCTTTACCACTAGTGCCAGCTGGGAAGCCCGCCTTTGCTCCTGAGATGCCAAGAAGAAAAAGGGACCCTTTTAGTCAGTGCATTTTTTTTTTCAAGAGCTTCCAGTTAGGGTGGACCAAGCACTTCTACGACGTGTTTAAGATTTTCCCTCTGTGCTCTGAGACTTTGGCTGACACATGCCTCCTGCTCCTCACTTCTGTGAGTGTCCTGTTCATTTCAGAAGATGCCTCAGCACTCTTACTTGGTCTTGTGAATGGCCTTGCCTTCCCAGGTTCACAGACTTTTGTTTGTATAGGGAC